AAAAAAAAAAAAAAAAAAAAAAAAAATTATATAAATAAATTAGTAATTAATGCAATAAATTATTAATTTGTATTATTGTGAAAATTTTGCATAAATTTTTGTGTAGATTTTTATTGAAAAAATTGCTAATATATTTGAAAAGTTTATTTTTTTATTAAAATTAAAAAAATTTGTTATATAATTATTACCTTTAAAATACCTATATAAATAAATATATTATAATTGTATTATATAATCATATTATATTACAATCAGTTCTTGATATAATAAAATAAATGTTTAGGTTAATCAGGTCTTTATTATGAGAAAATTTATTAATACTATAATAAATTTATTCAGTATAGCAGAAAATTTTGGTATAATGCAGTAAAATAGAGAAAAATTAAAATATTTATAAAACATCATTGCTTATAAAGGTAAAGAAAACTTTGAAACATCAATTATCCATCTTTTGATAAAATGAATTAAAGTAGTAAATTGATTATCTGAAAAAAATTCCATAAAACCAGCATCAAATTGCCCTTTATATTAAAATTTATTTCGCAAAAATCTTTGTTATATTTAAAAAAAAAATTTATTATAAAGAAATTCATAATAAAAGAGATCACTTACATTTATGAATTTATAAGTGGAATAATATTTTTTATATGATTAAATGTATATTACATTAAAGATTTATTATATTGTGAGATTCGTTATATTAAAATTTGCTATAAAAAAGAATGATTGTATTATTTGTATATACATAAAGTTTTTACTTGAAATCCTAGAATCTTTCTTTTTCTTATTTTGTCTAAACTGAAACTTGTAATTTTAGTTGAAATGTTCACTTAATTTATCTTTTTTGTTTTCTCAATTACACAGTTATTTAATATATTCTTTATATAACTGTGATTATAAACGGTTCTTTTTAATATAAGGTTTTTGAGGATAGGTGTGATAGTGACTATAGATAGATTGTGACTATATAAGATAGTTTTTAATAATAAAGTGTTTTGAACATTTAACTGGTGTGACTATATAGTAGAATGTGACTATAGCAGAAGTGACTATAGAGAGAGTTGACTGTAGTTATAGGATAAGTAACATAGCATCATGTTGGACCAGTTACTAGTAGAAATAGTTGAACGCATTGTTGCAAAAATCCCAGATACTGTCCTTATTGCAGCGAGTAAGGTAGATAGTGTGTGGTGGCAGGAGGTTCGTCGAAAAGCATATAAGAGATGGAAAAATTATGCCACTACAATTGGGAATATATACTGGGAAATCCAAGCTATTGGAAAGCAGTTTGAAAAAAGGGATATTGACTGGATAGGACTCTGAACATCACATATATAACTCATAACTGATCTGCATGAATTTAGCACTTTTTGCTCCTGCTAAAATAGACCTAATTTTCTAAAAATCAAATTATCACATTTTAAATTTATACTAATTTGCTAAAACTCAAAATATGAGTGTAACTTTTTAGCAAATTGGCCTAAATTTCAAAAAAAAATCACATTTTTTGCAATTATCTTGGCATTCAGTGATCTAATTTATGCAAACTTTTTTGTTTTGTAGCTCTCATCGAGCTCTACAAATTAAAAAAAATCTGCATAAATCGAATCACTGGATGCCAAGATAATCACAAAAAACTGAAAATAAAAAAATGTTGCAAAACTAATCGGACGGGTTTTGGCCTGCATTATGCTTAAATTTGGCCGGAATTATACTTAATTTTGGCCAAAATATAACCTGGACCCCAAAACTAATATTTTTAAAAATATTATCAATAAAAGTTAAAAAAAAGGATAAGTTAACTTCAAAAAAAAGTACCAATTTGCTCAAATATAAAATATGACTTTGTAAAATCAACACAATTTGCTAAAACTCATAATTATGACTATTAATTAATTTTCAATCAATTTGCTCTATCTAAAATTATGAGTTTAATCTAATTTTGATTGAATTTGCTAAAACTCAAATGTAAGTTATATATATGATGTCTGGGGTTCTGTTAAAAGGATCATTTGCTGGAACTCCTACACTTAAGGGTAGGGTCTTTTTGTTGATATTTAGTTGACTCAGTGATCGACAAACTGATGATCATGTAACCCATTTAAAAATAGAACTAATTAGAGTTACCAATAGAAAATAATTATTTTTTTTATAAAAAATTTAACGTTTCGATAAAAAATAATTATTAATTTAAATAAAATATTTATAATTTTGCTTTACGAAAATTTTGTTCTTTATTATTTTATATACAAATTCCAATTTTTTGCTAAAATCAAATCTTCGGCATTTTCATTAACTCCTTCTATTCTACATATATAAGTCAATATTGAGGAATCTGAACATAACCGTCGTAGTTCAATAAATTGGTATATAATTTCTCGGTAATTAACCAATCAAGCAGGTACATACCAACTTTTTGTGGCCGTAACCTAGTTTGAATTCGAGCTTCTGAATATAAAGATAATTTATTCAAATTTTTTTGGTTGACATTGTTATTTTTGTTATTATAGAAAACATTGATTATGTCTTCTCGTGTAATATAATGCATGTTATTTTGGGGGTCTCTTATATGCTGTAATAAAAGCATAACTATTTGTATCATTCGCACAGCTTCAGACTGTGCATCATATATTGAAGGTGTATCCTTTTCTTGGCGCAAACAATTATCACAAATCATACATTGTAAAATTGGAGGATCATATAACCATTGGAACGATTGGTATGTAAGTTGCTGACGGCATTCATAAATGGAATCTGCATACAATGCCATTAACATAATTTTTCTCTTTTTTATATTTAGGGTCACGTTGGTATCTGATAAATGATGCATTTCCTCATGATTTGACAAACTAATATTTTTTTAGTATTATGATACACAATTATTAATTTATCTATTATCTGGATTTACTTACTTTTCCTGTCCTCCACCAATAATTGCTAATAAAGTACGGATGTCTTCACGTGAATAGAACATTATGGCTTTTGATCCTTGACCTAAACAACCAGCACGTCCAATTTCTTGTACATATTGTTCATTTGATAAAGGTAAAGTGGTATGTATTATTAAAGTAATATCGGATACATTTATTCCCATTCCAAATGCAGATGTTGCTGACATTATTTTAATTATTCCATTTTTTCATGCATTAGAGGTAGCAGTTTGTTCTGAACTAGACATCTTTCCATGATACATAGCTACAATAGAAGGGTCAAATGCTTTTCGCAATTCATCAGTAATATCAATACAATGTTGAATGGTAGCAGAAAATATAATTACTCGTCCTTCATGATTATCTAAAAGATTAAACACTGCCTGGTAAAGTTTTTTTTTCCCTATTGGTTTTGGTTGAACTTCCAATGCAATATCCTAACGATGAATTATAGGACTTCTAATAACTTTCATGTTTGGTCTTTTTAAGACTGTCTCAATTTTAGCTGCATCTTCAGGTGAACATGTAGCTGTTAATGCAAGTAAAGGAACAGAGGGAAAATCTTGTTTGATACATTTTAGCTGATGCCATGAATCTCTATTATAAAATAATGGTGATTATATATTTATGATTTAAAATAATAAATGTAACATTTTTTAACATTTTTTACTTACTGAAATCCTTCATAACCAATAATGCAATGGGTTTCATCAATTACGAACTGTAGACCTCAGATATATTTTGTAGCATATTCTGAAACTTTAGATTTTTGACGTATTTTTCTGGGGTTATGAATAAAATCCAAATCAACCCTGAAGCAATTTCAGAAACAATTTTTTCTTGTACTTGTGGTGATTGTTCTGATGATACATATAGCATAGCAGCTGGTATGCCAAATTTAACCATTTCACGCTAATATATTATTAAAAAATAATTTAGTAATATCTATTTGTTGTAAAGTATATAGTATTATATTGTTATTACTACTTGATTATCCATCAGCGACTTTTGAGGTGTAAAAACTACTGTTAATGCTTGAGAAAGTATACTTGCTGCTGCATAGATTAAACTTTTTCCTCTGCCAGTTCTTAGTATAGTCAAAGTATTTTGTTCAGATAAAAATGATTCTATACTTTCGCATTGAAGTTCTCTATATCTTTCAAATCCAAAAAATTGAACAATAGACGATATAGCTAATTCTCTACATGAAGATGAACTTGATGCTTGTTGATTTCGTAATTTTGGTAAAGAACTTGGCAAATTATTTTTCAGCAAAAACCCACATAAGTTACATAAACCACTTGAATATTTTTTGGCGAAAGATTGATACCCAATACATTTCAAACATGAAGTTTTAAACGACGGAACTAAATTGGCAAATGATGGTATAAATTTGCTTTTGTTTATTTCTTTATAAACTTGTCGTCCGTATGGAACTAAATCCTAGAAAAATTGAAAGTATATATCAAATAATTTTAAATTATAAATAATTGATAATAATATTTTACCTGTGTAAAATCAAAAGTTTCTAAATTTTTTTTTTGATTAATAATTTTTTCTGCTTTTGTTTGGTTTCTTTTTTCAATTGCCATTATATTACTTTTTCTTTTTTGATCTCAGTGTTTCCATATTTTCAATAAATTGTTTTCATCTTGCAGAGAAAATTGTGGCAAATCTTCTGCTTTACGAAGTTGGCGTTAAAGATCTACAAAACCATTGTTGTTATGAATAACAGAAAGTGCATGACGTGCTTTGAATGACTTGGGATAATCAGTTTTTTTTTCTGTATAATTTAATTTTAAACGATTAAAAGCTTCATTATAACTAGTACGTATAGTAGTTATTAAACTTTGATCATCTTTCAATTTGGTAATCCTTTTGAGAAACTCCACTAAACGTAAACATTGGTCTTTATTTACATCAACTAAATTGGGGGTTGGTAGTATAAGATCTGGATTTTCAACAATCCAACACACTTCAGGCCAGCATTTTTCATGGTCACCTCGCAAATGTTATACTATTCCAACAGTATGCATTCATGCTAATTCAGCGTCTGTTGGAGTTGATATATCTGGATTGTTAGCTCTACTAGCTGTAGCATAAACACATCGTGTATAGTATTTCATTATTTGCTGTTCAAGATGCTTCCAATTTCGATCAGATGCTATAAAAAAAATAGTAAATACTTGTTTCATATTATTAAAGTTTAACAAATGAAGTTTTCAACTAATTACCTATTTTTGATCGTACTAACTTGGCTTTATGTTTTAAGTCAGCAAAGATTTGATTTACAATATTTAATAAACCCAAAGTTTTATTCGTAGTGAGATCTCCATCAACTCCAACATTTAGTTTTATATTATATTTTTCGATTACACAGGTTGAAGGGGCACAATTGTCCAAAATTCAAAAAATGCAAATTTCCCATTTTCCTGGAAAATGGTGGAAAATTGTGGAAAATGCTACATTACGCTGAGCAATTTTTTGGAATAGCATTATTACAACATTGTCTGATTTAGCAAATCTTATGAAATTTTGGGAAAATGCTACATTACACCTCAAATGTAACATTTCGTAATATTGTTATGACATTGTTATAACATTGTCATTAAAATCAAATTTTGCTTTTTTTCTTTCAAATGTTCCAATTTTCTTGCAAATGGTGCATTTTTATGAAAATGCTGCATTTTATCTCCAATGTGACATCATTGTAACAACATTTCATAAAATTGTTGTAACATTGTCAATTAAAATCAAATTTTGTCAAATATTCCAATTTTCTGGCAAATGGTATATTTTTTATGAAAATTCTATATTTTCTGTCAAATGTTGCATATTTTCAGCAAATTTTATGTTTTTTTGGTCAAATGTTTCACTTTTGTCAGAATATTAAAATGTTACATTTTTTTTTTGAAAATGCTCAATAATATGGCATTACACTGGAAAATGTAGCATTTCACCAAATTACACTAAAAAGCATTACAATTATCACATTTTTTGGAAAATTCCACATTACATTAAATTATACTAAAAAATGTAGCATTATACTAAATTATGCGGCATTGCACTAAAAAATACCACAATTACACTAGACAATGTAGCATTACACTAAAAAGTACTACAATTATTATATTTTTTAGAAAATTTCGCGTTATACTGGAAAATGTAACATTATGCTAGAAAATGTGGAATTGCACTAAAAAATACCACAATTACACTGGATAATGTAGCATTACACTAAAAAGTACTACAATTATCATATTTTTTAAAAACATTTCACGTTATACTGGAAAATGTAACATTATGCTAGAAAATGCGGAATTGCACTAAAAAATGCAGAATTGCACTAAAAAACGTGGAATTGCACTAAAAAACACAAAAAAATACTACAATTACACAGGATAACGTAGCATTACACTTAATTACATTAAAATTGTTAAGATAATTTTTATTTATTTGTAAATTACAGACATTATTAAATTTATAATAATCAACACGATGTGTTGTGATGTAATTTAATACTAAACCTTACTACTGAAGACTCCCTCTTTTTGTCACTATAAACAGGCGGAGGGAGCAGCAATGGCTCTCCCCCTATAGGTACTTTATGGCCTCTACCTGTTTACAGAGGAGGGGCTTTTCGTAAAGTATTAGTTAATAGATATATATATACGTATATATAAGCATATATA